CTTCCTGTAGCCTGGGTTTCCCACCTGGCCCCCGGCTCATGCCACTTGGCTACATATATTTTCCCATCTGCCTTCCAGATCTGCTCTTCTCACAGCAAACCTGGCCTGCGAAGTTCATGCTTAAATATCTCCCCCCAGCATACCTCTCTGGAGCTCAGAGTAAATCTTAACGCAATGCCCCTTGACCTGCCTCCAGCTCCTTGCTGACTTCCGACTGGTCCTGGGCTGTGTCCCCACCCCAACCCACCCTGGACAGCGGTTCTCACTGGGTTCAACCCTGGAGGTCCAACGGAGCCTGTGTCAGGAGAGGTCCGAATCAGCATCCACTCTAGTTCTCTCAGCCCCTCAGGGGATTGTAATGCTTTCAGCCAGAGTTGGGAAAGATGGCTCTTGCCCAGGGATTTCCAAGTTTGGCTGCAAGCTGGAATCACCTGGGAACATTAGAAAATATGGCCTGGGTCCCACCTCCAGACGCAGCCTGACCATCAGGAGTTTTGAAAGCTTCCCAGGTGATTCAGCAGTGTTTGAGGACCACTGCTCGGGCCCTGCTGGGTTATTTGTGGTTCCTTTGCAATTAACCTCCTTTTATATCCTGGCATTTCTGCTGTATTGAAATTCATCTTTCCCTCCCTCCTAAGCTAGCTCACTCTCCCTTCTTTCAAAGGTCAGAACTGAGGGATTCTAGAAGGGCTGGCAAAATTTTTCTGAAAAAGGCCAGATAGGAAATATATGAGGTTTTTTAGATCACTGCGGATGGTCTCTGTCACACCTTCTTCTTGTTTTCCCCTTAAAATGTAAACACCATTCCTTGCTCATGGGTTATACAAAATAGGCCATGGGCAAGATTTGGCCCACAAGCCATAGTTCCCTGATCTTGGACCACAGCATTGGTTTGTTAGCTAGTGAGTTCCCTATCATTGGAAGCAATCAAGTCATAGTCAGAGGACTTCTTGGCAGGGAAAGCATAGCTTAAGCTTCCAATGAATAACTGGACTGAAAATTTCTCTGTTCTTTCACGAACTTAGGATGCCTTCGTTCTAATTCATCCCAGCTCCTGGGCAGAGTTTCTCATCTGCCAAAGGATCTCTGAGGTCCCCTGGGAGCTCTGAAAGCATCCCCATGTTCTGTTCTGCCTCATTGTGAAGGTCTGTATGTGTCACACAGCCTTTGTGTCAACAATAGGTGCTATGATTTAGTTATGTGAGTTTGAGACAAAGAAGAAAGACTGCTCCTGCTCCTGACCTGTGTGCACAGATAACGTTTGAAGCAGGAACAGCTGGAAACCATGAAAATCAAAGTGTTCTGAATTCACCTTCAGCCACGGACATCTGACAACTAGACACAAATGGCAAATTATACCTTTCTGTACTGACACAAACAGGACTGATTCATGATGATGCAGAGTAGACCTATCACATGAGGATAAAGATAGAAGCTTTCTCTCTTATCCCAGATTCTCTGTGTCAGTCCTGAGGTCAGTTTCCCAATGGGCCTAATTCTACCCACCTTTTAACAACCCGCCAATGAGAAATGACCATGTGCATTGTTGTTGTTTAGTCGCTAAATCGTAACCATGTGCATAGGTCAGAGTTAAGATTACAGGTCCTAGAACAAGGGAGTGTCAACTCTAATCCAGCACTCACCTCTTAGATATGAGGCTTGGGGAAATGATTGAGATTTTTACTTTTCATCTATAAAGAGGATATAAAATTAGTTTGGGAAGGGAAGGTTTTGCAGCTGACCTGTAATTCACCTTCTACAGCTGGGATAGGGAGAGGGAAAAGAGAGAAAAAATAATAACCTGGTCCATTCTGTTTATAAACTTGCTAATCCAATCTCATAATGGTAGTTGTAGCAGAAAGATAAGAGAGTCCTTATGTACAAATGCTTTAAGGATGCTTTACCTGGCTTATTTAGAATGGGATGTATAGCTATGTGGAGAGTTCACTGGAAAATGTCAGTGTCAGTTATGTAATTATCAAAGTGAAAATGAAGATGCTTCATGAATAAAATAGCATCTGGATGTGTGTTGTCCTGCATGTTTTATTCAGAGACTCTGGGAGTTTAATCTGGACCAGAGTGCACTCTAATCTTCAAGGAAGAATCTAGGGAGCCGTGCTGATGGCTTTAAACTTCACCTACGTCTTATGATGACCAGTATCCTGAGAATTATTAGTCAAGTTTGAGTCTGAGTAAAATCCCTGATTGTTACTATTTTATTTTCACAACTTGATTCTGTGTTATCTAATATTCATACAGGATGTTTATGAGCATTCAAACACTTACAACAGGGCCTGGAGCATAGTAAGTGCTCAATAAATATTATTATCAGAGAACTGGTGTGAGGACTAGATCAGGGGACAGAGATCAGAGATTGGAACGTGCTGGAAAAGCTCAGAACAGTGCATGGATGTGAATTGCTATCCTTTGCAACAGGGTGGGAAGAGCGCAGGTTTTAAAGATCTGGGTTCCAATCTTGACTCCAAAATTTTCCAGCTGGTTTATGTTACGGGACCGTGTAACCTCTCTGGGCTTATTTTCTCATCTGTAAACTGGAGCAGTTAATCCTAATTTCAAGACTATCATGCAGATTGGGGGTGATGTGTGAGAGAGATGCCGTGTAAACAAGAGAGCTTAATGCCTGAGCACTACTATGTGTGAGGCCAGGATGGGGCAAGGGGCAGGATGGGGCCAGGGAAGCCCTCAGCCATGGCCTCTGTGTTTAACCAAGTCACTTTGGGGTGACTTGTCCCCTTCTTAGAAGAGCTCTAGCCATGACAGTGCCTGTTCTGGCTCCCTTCTGAGCTCTGAGGATGAGATAATGAACCACAAACAGGTTCTTTCAGAGCTTATTTTGTAGATCGAGGGAGACGTGCTAAACCAGACATCAGCGGACCGCAGCCTTCAGCCCGCACCCAGCCTGCCACCTGCTCTCGTGAATAAGGTTTCTTGGGGACACAGCCGTGTCATCTTTCATTTACACACTGCCTGTGGCTGCATTTGCACGACCACTGCGGAGCTGCAGAGTGGCCGTGGAGTCTGTGGGGCCTGGAAAATGTTTACTGCCTCGCCCTTTACACAAAAAGATGGGCAATCCCTGTATTAAATCCTCATCTGAGAATACCGTGAGCAGATGAGCCAGGGAGAGAGGCTGAGAAGGAAGTAAAGCAGGATAATGTGATCGAGGGTAAGTGTGTGTGTGTGAGTGACTGTGGCTTGTGTGAGCACATGTGTACATTTGTGTTTGTGTATCCTTGTATGTGTATGTGTGTGCATGTGTATACTTGTGTTTGTATATGTATGTACACTTTGTGTATGCTTGTGTATATATGCATGTGTCTGTGTACATTTTGTGTGTGCATGTATGGATATGTGTGTACTTGTGTGTATGTATATTTGTATGTGTATATTGTGCATATGTGTATGTGTGTACATACTTTGTGTATGCATGTATGTGTGTGCATGAGTGTATGTGTATACTTGTATGTGTGTGCATGTGTATACCTGTATGTAGGTATATGTACATAAGTTTGTGTTTGTGTATGCTTGTTATGTATGCATATGTGTATGTGTATACTCTGTGTATGCATATGCATGTGTGTGTGTACTTATGTGTTTGTGTACGTGTGTGTTGATTTTAGACTAAGTGGTCAGGACAGGCCTCACGGGGCAGGTGAGAGGCCGGGTGAGATGGTCACACTAGTCTATGAGCCCCACGAGAGCAAAGACTGCCCCCTGGGTTTCCTTCCCACAGTCCCTGGTCTTGCATGGAGTCGCCGGCTGCCCACCTCCAGGGGCCGCGATGTGACAGCTGCGTGAGGAGTGGGTGGTGTGGAGGCCCTGTGGGATGGAGCATATTCCCCCCTTGAATCTCCTTTAACTGCTTTGTGGGCTCCTGGTTCGCCCTCTTGTCGTTAACTGCCCCCCTGTCCCCTGGAAGATACCCCCTGTTCCTCCAGCCGTCTCGTCACTGCAGCAGTGTGTGTGCGTGTGCACACACGTGTGCATGTCTGATATCCTCCCCCAGTCATGCCACGGCCCATCCCACCATCTCATTGCAACCTTCTGTTGTCCCTGGTGGGGATAAACATGACAGGACATGGAACATCATGGCCTGTGAAAATCAGCGCAAGGGGAAAAAGAGAAGTTCAGGTCCGTTTGTTCTGATAGAAATATTTTCATCAACAGAGAAACCCAAACAAAGGAGAACCACAGCAGAGCCTCCAGGAGAGAGCTCTGCCTGGAGACACCTTCCCAGCCCCAGCACGGCCTCTGACGGGGCCCCTGCGGGACACAGGCCCCCAAGCCAAGCGTGGCAGGGCCCCTAGTCCCACCCGCCTGACCATCTGAGGCCCTGGAGGAGCACAGGGCCTGCCCACTAGGGAAACGGCAGAGCTGGGGCTGAAACTGGGTCCAGGGTAAACTGGGGCTCAGAACACTCCAGACTGGACGCTCATGCAGGGACAGTGACAGGTGGTGGTTAGGACCTAGGGGCTGGGCAATTCCATCCCTGCCTGCTCTAGGCAAGCAGCTTCCCTCCTCTGCCTTCTCTAGGGCTGTCATGGGCCTTAAATGAGATAACAGGCATCGAATGCTTGGCCAAGTACAGCACATAATCAATGGTGAATAAATCCTAGACATTGCCATTATTATATCATTATACCTTCCATATGAAAATGTAGCCTCTCTGTGGGCACAGACTGTAACTTGAGTATCTTTCATTCATCCCAGTCCCAGCTCTCCCAGCTGTTAAAGATCGCTATGTTGTAGTATGTTACCACCTACGCATCTTTGAGTGAGTTTGTTACTGACCATCAGGTGGATGGAAACCAAGACGATCACTGCATTTAAATAGGTGGGGACTCTCTGTTCCCCCTCCACTCCCAGTGGTGCTTGTCCTTCCTCAGACCACAAGCTTTGCATCTGTACAATGAGAACACCCTGCCCTGGTGGCATCGTGAGTCCCTAGGCCGGCGGGTGAGGAAGGCAGAGAGCCTTACCTGGCCCACTGCAGAAGGCGGCGATGACGGCCAGAATGCACACGATACTCAGGTAAGGGATCCAGGGCGCGTGGTCCTGTGAGAGAGCAGTTGGGCAGATGAGGGGGCGGTCATGGGTGGAGGACCTGAGTACCAACCCCCCCCAGCTCCTCCTTGATCCATCTGTGAGACCTGGGGCAGGTCACTTTACATCTCTGAGCCTCAGTTTCAGCATCCATAAAGTGGGGACGATCATAACCCCTACGCCATTCCATCTGTCTATCTTACAGAGGTCACAGTGAAATAGAATGATGCCTGTGAACATTTAGCAAAGTCCCAGCATTTGGCTTCCCAGGTGGTGCAGTGGTGAAGAATCAGCCTGCTAAAACAGGAGATCCCTGGGTCGGGAAGATCTCCTGGAGGAGGGCATGACAACCCGCTCCAGTATTCTTGCCTGGGAAATCCCCTGGATAGAGGAGCCTGGCGGGCTACAGTCCATGGGGTCTCGAAGAGTCAGACACGACTGAGCAACTGATTATGCACAGCATATGGTAAGTGGTAGACAAATGAATAACACCATTTGAGGGCTTAGTTGGAAGCAGACAAGACGAGAAAATTTTACAGGCAATTTCACTTTTAAAAATTTTTCTCTAGGCCAATCTCTGTTATCATTTAAAATGCTATCTTTCTCTCTCTGCTGTCCTTACAAGGTGTGAGATGAGTTAACTCATGTCATTAAATATGCTTGGAGAGGCTGTCACTTGTCTGGTGGGTGGGGGTGGTGACTTCACGCCGGGTGGGAGAGAAGTTTGGGAAATCGCTTCTGCTCTAGCAGACTGGATGGTGATGATGAGAACGTGTCTGAGAGAGAATTGGGCCCAGTCTAAGAGAGACTCAGCGAGGAGAGGAGTCTATGCTTACCTTTGAAGGCTGAGCCGAAGTCAGGCAAGAGGAAAAGGAAAGGAAAGGTGTTCCAGGAGAGGGTGTCCCATGGGCAAGGGTGCGGAGGCATGGGAGAGCCCAGTGAGGACCTCCAGGGTGGAGGGGAGCGGGTAGAGGGGAGAGCAGCCCTTCCATGCCAAGCTAAGCCTACCAGCTGCAGCAGGGTCTAGGGCTGGGAGGAGCCTCATAGCCTTTTGTACTAAATGGGTCTGATGCCTTGAGTCATCCATCCATCCATCCATCCATCTGTCCATCCACCCATCCATCTGTGCATCCATCCATCTGTCCATCCACCTGTCCATCCACCCATCCATCTGTCTATCTGTCCATCCCATCCATTCATCCATCCATCCATCCATCCATCCATCCATCTGTCCATCCACCTGTCCATCCACCCATCCATCTGTGCATCCATCCATCTGTCTATCCGTCCATCCCATCCATCCATCCATCCATCCATCCATCCATCCATCCATCTATCTATCCTTCCATCCATTTGACAGATTATTCCAAGGTCCTCCTGGGAGGTAGGAATGTAGAAATGATATGGGCATGGTCCTCACCCCTACAACTCACTGTCCATTGGTAGAGAGAGATGGTTCAACAATGAAGGCCAAGGCTATGTGTAAAGCAGTGTTTTAGGTCTGCCCCTGGGATCCTGGGGAAGACAGAGGAGGGTGCTTCAGACAGCGGGTAGGGGAAGGCTTCCTGGAGGAAGGGGTATCCAGGAGGAAGCCAGGGTCTCAGAAAACAAGAGAAGCCAGTTGAGCAAGGAGGGCGCTGGGAAGAGGAAAGAGCCAGGCTCTTTCGCGGGCAGCCTTTGGGGAGCAGGGCTGGGGCGACAGAGATGAGGGTAGCTGAGCAGGAAGGAGCTCTGAGACCTAGTGGGGTGAGGCCCAGAGGGGTTCTCATGCTCCAGATGGCCCTTCCAGACGTCTGACTTGCTCCACAGAAAGACCACGACCCAGAACATCCAGCTTGGTTGGTCCAAGGAGCCTATGAGACTGTCTGTTCAGGACAACCCCGTCTGGCTGTGGGGAAGGAAGGTCTCTGCCAGCACATAATCCCAAGGAGGAGATTTCCACCTCCAGCCTGGTCAGCATGCCCGGCAACAACTCCTTTTTGAAGGACAAGCTATTGCCTCTCAGACATGTGCTAAGGCGCTTCAGTAGTATCCGACTCTGTGCAACCCCATGGCTGTAGCCCGCCAGGCTCCTCTGTCTGGGGGATTCTCCAGGCAAGAACACTGGAGTGGGCTGCCAGGCCCTCCTCCAGGGGATCTTCCTGACCCAGGGATGGAACTCAGTGTTTCTTCTGTCTCCTGCATTAGCAGGCGGGTTCTTTACCACTGATGGCACCTGGGAAGCCCACCAGCACGCCGACGTTGCCTTTTTCTAGACCTGTGGGGACATTAAGACCTTTGGCAGGTGACCACCACACGTGATTTCCATTTAGGGATTCATTTTTGAAAACTGCAAATTCTCATTGACCACTGTGACCTTGCCCCACACTTCCCACAGGGCTGAGATGAGCTTGAGGCATGGTGTAAATGCCCAGTGAACACAGGCTGCCCTGAACAGTGCAAGCGGCAGGAGGAATCCCCAAGATCCCGGGATCTGATCCCAGCTCTGCCCTTGCCCTGCTGTGAAAGCTTGGGCAGCTTCTTCATTGAGATGTATGTCTGTCTCCTCATCACCATTAAAGGAAAAGATACCACTTTCATAAGAATTAGCTCTGGCTCCATGCATCCCCCCCTGCAAACAGGCATTCACTGAGCACTTACTGTGCTCCGGGCAGTGCTGGCCGCCCTACAAGTGCATGTCACGATAGCACTGGGCATAGGGTAACCATCCCATTTTAGACACGGGGCCCTGAGGAGCAGAGAGGTTAAGAGACTTGCCAAAAGTTTCATGGAGGGTAAGTGGGACATTCAGGATTTCCACCAGGCAGCTGGCTCCAGGGCCCCTGCTGGTACCCACGGGCATCAATGTGGTAATTGCACAGGGGTCTCAGGGCCGTGCCAGCCACCCTGAGCGGGAGCGTGAGAGCTGAAGGGGGCATCTTCGGAGACATTTAGTGCAATCTCCTCTATTCCACAGATGGGTAAACCAAGGGGGACGGATCTTGCCCAAGATCACGCAGATTTTAGTGACTTCCTGACAGGGCCAGAAGTCAGGTCTCTTGTTTCCCCCTCCCTGGCCCCCGCCCCTGTCCAAGGACCCATTACTAACACCTTTCCCCAAGGGCGCTCAGCAGCTTCAAAGCTGAGATGCCCTTGGAAACTCCACATCACAAGAGTTGCCTATAGACTGGACGGACTCCCCGAGCCAATGACCCCAGAGCACGAAGCCAAAAGCCACACCCATCCTGAACTCCCTGGGGAAGGGACAGGTGCGTCCTCTCACCTGCAGCGTCAGCGTAATAGTGAGGATCCCAAAGAAGAGGGCCATCAGCCCAAAGCCGCCAATGAGGAGGGGTCTCCGTCCCACGCGCTCGATGACCAAGCCCTGGGGCAGGGTCAGAGAGAGATGGTTAGTACTCCCCTTCTAGCAGTGAGTGAAGGGGACCCGTGGTGCTGGGGTCATGGTTAAAGGATGGCTCTGACCTGGAGACCCCCGGCCACTTCCTCCAAGGCCACAGCCAGAGAGAGAGGGAGAAGAAAGTCACAGCTCATGAGCACCGGCTGGGTGTCCATATATTCACCTTTCTCCTGATCTTCCTCATCGGGGAGGATGGGTTTATCCTCAGAAGGGACATAGTTGCCCAGCCCTCCCCCCGCCTTAGGAGTCAGTAAGCAGGCAGAAGGCAATGGCTCTCTATTTCTCTACGCCGTGTGTTGTGGATGTCCTAGGGGTAGACTCCCAGGGCGTGGCGCTGGGGTGGGAGTGGGCAGAGAAGTTCCCACCTCCTGCCTCTAACTGGCCCTGAGTCAGTCGATGCTTCTGTCTCTGTCGCTCCTCTTTCCTGATGGTGGTGGGTTAGTGTGGGTGATTGAAGCTGATGACCATTCGTCAAGCACCTGTTATGTGCCAGGCTCAGTCTTTCTATGTGTCCATTCATTTACCTGTCACTAAAACTTCATGAAGTGTTTTGTTACCCTCCTACACTGTTGGCGGGAATGGAAATTGATGTCGGCACTATGGAAAACAGCATGGAAGTTCCTCAAAAGGCTAATACTAGAGCTACTATATGATCCTGCAATCCCACCCCTGGGCATAGAGCTTTTTGATTCATTGTTGTTGTTCGGTTGCCAAATTGTGTCCAACTCCTTGCAACCCCATGGACTGCAGCGTGCCAGGCTTCCCTGTCTCCATCTCCTGGCATTTGCTCAAGTTGATGATCACTGAATTGGTGATGCTATCCAACCATCTCATCCTCTACCACCCTCTTCTCCTTTTGTCTTCCATCTTTCCCAGGATCAGAGTCTTTTCTAGTGAGTCGGCTCTTTGCATCAGGTGGTCGAAGTACTGGAGCTTCAGCTTCAGCATCAGTCCTTCCAATGAATATTCAGGGTTGATTTCCTTTAGGACTGACTGGCTTGATCTCCTTTTTTTCTGGAGAAAATTCTAATTTGAAAAGATACATGCACCCCAAGGTTCATAGTAGCACTATTTACAATAGCCAAGACAAGGAAGCAGCCGAAGTGTCATGTCCATCAACATGACATACGGATAAAGATGTGATGTGTATATATATGTATATATATATATGTGTGTGTGTGTGTGTGTGTGTGTGTGTGCATATATATGTGTGTGTATATATATATACACACACACACATACACAATGGAATATTATTCAGCCATAAAAAGAATGAAATAATTCCATTTATAATGCCATTTATAGCAACTTGGATGGACCTAAAGATTATCATACTAAGTGAAGTAAGTCAGAAAGACAAAGACAAAGATCATATAATATCACTTATCTATGTAATCTAAAATATGATATAAATGAACTTAATGAAATAGAGATAGACTCACAGATATAGAAAGCAAACTGATGGTTATCAAAGGGGAAAAGAGGTGGGAGAGAGATAAATCGGGAGTTTGGGATTAGTAGATACAAAATACTACACATAAAATAGATAAACAAAAAGGTCTCACTATAGAGTATAAAGAACTAGGTTCAATGCCCTGGAATGGAAAAATAATGGAAATAATGGGGAAAAAAAACATGAAAAAGAATGTGTATGTATAACTGAATCACTTTGCTATACACCAGAAACTAACATAACAGTGTCAATCAACTATACACCAGTTAACATTTTTTTTCAATTTAAAAGTTAAAATAGGTTCTATTATTTGTTTGATTATATAGGTAAAGAAACAGACACAGAGGCTTTGGAAACCTGGTTATGGTCATGAGGCTGGCAGGAGGCAGAGCGGGCATCCTCTATAATCTTTCCTCGTCCGTAAGACATTAATATTTCCCCCAGCAGAATAGACAAAGCTCCACTTGGCAGAGCTCACAGATGCACCTGGATGCCCAGCGCCTTCCTCCCTGTCCCCTGACCCTCCTCCTCTGTAGAAGGCTAGGCGTTTCATCTTTGTCTTCCCAGGACCCAGAGGACCCCCTGGTAGGTGTGGAGCCAGCATCTGCTGATGGAGTGAAGGTTTATCTCTGTATGGCGGGTATGATGATCCTCCTTTCTCAGAGGAGAGGGAGATGAGGACGGCAGGTTTACCCCGTGGGAAGCCAGGCCCACTGAGAGCCATGGAGGCAGCAAAGATCAGACGTGGTTGGGAAAGTTCTAGAGAGAGAGAAGGGCATGCGTCTAAGTCATCTCTCCTCTCCCAGCTTTCGTGAACTGAGTCCATCAAAGGGGAGGACCTGGGAGGGGCTGCCAGGACCAGAGCAACATGGCGGGAAGCTGGGTCCCTGCGAGGTGGGGATGAAGAAGTTTGGGAACACCCGGGATCAGAGGTCCAGAGAGATTATGGAATTTGTCAAAAGTCACTCAGAGCTCCTCAGAGATGAGAAAGTGGGGATAATGCTCTCTCACGCCCAGGGATGTTTGAAAAACAGCTCTACTCTTGAACTCAGTCATTCACCTTTTGGATATTTATCCTAAGGAAGTAGACATTTGGTCAAAACTTTATGAACAAAGATCTTCTTCATAGTGCTGTTTATGTCTCCGTGGCTTCAGTCATGCCTGACTCTTTGCTGTAGTCCACCAGGCTTCTCTGTCCATGGGGCTCTTCAGGCAAGAGTACTGGAGCGGGGTAGCCTTTCCTTCTCCAGGGGATCTTCCCTACCCAGGGATCGAACCTGTGTCTCTTAAGTCTCCCGCAGTGGCAGGCATGTTCTTAAGGAAATAGAAATCTAGAAGTCCATCAACAATTGAATTAGTTAAATAAATACTGGAACATCCCCATGATAATTGTGTAGGGATTCACATATTTTCAAAGAATTTAACACAACAGAAAAATCTTTAGGATATACTTTTAAGTGAAAAGAGTAGGGCATAAAGCTATAGAGACATCGACAGTTTTGAAAATTGCAACTATATGAAACTAATGCATTCTGGAAAAATAGATGCTAAAATAGTTTGTAATGGCAAACTGTAGTTGGGGGAATAATGTATGATTGTGATTTTACTTATTATTTTCCTGTCTTTTCTAAATTTTCTGCAATGAGCTTTTTAAATGAGCAGGCGTGTATCTTTTATTTCCATCTAGTTTGTTCCCCTTTTTTCTACTTCATATGCAGCTCTCCCATTACATTTAGTTTATGTTTTCCAATTTCTCCATCTCTTTTTTTTGGATGTTCTTTCTCAAGCCTTTATCAAGTGTAATAGAAAAGCTTTTGTATATGTATATAATATGTATACTATATATATTTTAGGAAGCTCATAAATTTTCACCTAAAAATTTATGACATGTTGATTCCACTTGTTTGACTTAGTATGAATAGAATGCTAAATTTCTAATTAAAAAAAGGGTATGCAACAAGTAACAAAGGTTTACTGTATAGCACAGGGAACTATAGTTAGGATCTTTTTTTTTTTTGCTAGGGAATTTAAAATTTAATTCTATATCTATGTCCACAGGATTTATTACTATTATTTTTGGATCTGAAGGGCATTATGTTTAATGCACAAATCTCATTTCAAATTGGCAGATTCATGTCAATGTATAGTCAGGATCTTATAATAACCTATAGTGGAAAATAATTTCAAAAATATTGTATGTGTATGTGTATAACTGAATCACCTTGCCATGCACCCGAAACATTGTAAGTCAACTATACTTTAATAAAATATGTATATTAAGGAAGAAAAAGAATTTGATTAATTAATGTACTTTTAGCTGTGCTGGGTCTTTGTTGTGCGTGGGCTTTCTCTGGTTGTGGAGAGCAGAGGCTAGTCTCTAGTTGCATTGCAGGGCTTCTCACTGAGGCGGCTTCTCTTGTTGCAGAGCATGGGCTCTAGGCACGCAGGCTTCAGTAGTTGTGGTGCAAGAGCTTTGTTGCACTGTGGCATGTGGAGTCTTCCCAGACCAGGGATTGAACCCGTGTCCCTTGCCTTAGCAGGCAGATTCTTAAGCACTGGACTACCTGGGAAGTCCTGCAATGAACTTTTCTAAATTAACAAAGGGTTAAAAGACTTAACTAACACTTGAAGATGCAAACCCCTACTCCCTGAGTCACCAATCCAGTCTTGACTCTTTCCCAAGCATCCATGATTTTCGATACCTGCACTGGGAAATTTTCATCACCATGTACAATATGTTTCTGCTACAATCTAAGGACGTCATAATCATCCTTACGCTTAATGGGGTCAAACCCAAAGTTACAGCTGGCACTGGAAATGCAGGCTGCTCATAACTGGACTATCTGTGGGCTTCATCTCATAAGCGTCTTAGAGGATTCAGTTAGTGTAGCCAGAGACAAGAGTGCAGAAGTGACTAGAGATGTCACCATGACAACCATCACAGTCACTGGGAGACATTGAGGTTGCTACACTGAGATTGATGCATTGTCACACCTGAACTTGTTACTGACTTCACTGCGCTGGATATTTTCCATTGTTTGTATTTTTTATTTTAGTTTCTTTAAAGGCACAGTCATTGATTTCAGAGTCAGGAAGTGTGCCCCAAGAACAAAGCAGCCAAGATCCACTCTCATACCATCGTGTCAACATTCAAGTGCTTTCAGGGGATCTGGCTGCTTCTTTTCACTAAAGTGTCTGCACAAAACAGTAACCTGAGCTGAAGTAAAGCTGAAACATCGTCTTTGATTTGGAAACAGTTTGTAAATGGTCTAGGAAGATGCCAAGGAAATGCCTGTGAAACAAAGAGAAGATGGAAACCCTCTCCATCCTAACGGGAAACAAGGTCAGTCTCCAGGGCTCTCTCCCTCCTTTAAATAGCACTGAAGTGCATCCTGTCAAAAGGGATTAGAGTCAACATGGTATTTCCACTCAACATGGAAATCATTAGTGAAGACATGAACTCAAGGTGAACAGCAGCCTCTGAAGGCTCCTGGTGTCAGCTAGGGATGTACTGTTAGCCTCCTGATGCTTTAAAGAAAGTCCCTCTGGGGACTCCTGAGCCAGGGCAATTAATCTATTCAGCAGCCATTTACCTCCACCTGCTGCCCACTCCACAGTGCTAGGATCAGTGGTGGAGTAAAAATGGTAAAGCTTTTTTTCTTGTTAGATTGATGTGTAGTTAGATTCAGTAAAATGTACCTG